AAACTTTCTAAAGAAGCTGCTGAAACTTTCTAAAGAAGCTGCTGAAATCTAAAGAAGCTGCATGAGTTTGCTGAATAAGCTGCTGAAATCTGTTGAAGCTGATGACGAAGCTAAAACATCTACTAAATCAGCAGAAAGTTTTATCTGAATGGCTAAAATAGCACAACACAAGTATAAGTAATTTGTTTTCTAAATAACCTACAGATAATAACAACAACAATAATAATAACCATAATATTATTGTTAATAATAATAATAACCATAATATTATTATTAACAATAATAATAATAATGAGGCTGACTCAGCCTTGAGACAAACCTCTGAGCTGCTCCAGGTTTGTTTGTGTAGCAGGAGCTGTTTTCCGTCTTCTCCGTTAGAATAAATCAGCCGATCGTCGGTCAAACCTGGAGTTCTGAGCACGATTTTGTTTTTGTTTTCCTGCAGCACGGGACGCCTCCGCTGCTGATCGCAGCCGGCTGTGGAAACATTCAGATCATCCAGGTGCTGATGAGGAAAGGTGCAGAGATCCAGGCTAACGATAAGGTACCAGCCGATGGTGGTTCTCCTGCTGCGGACATTAGAATCAACATTTAATAAATTGTTGATCTGTGAATCAGGCAGAATCATCAAATCGTTTTTATGCTAATTACACTCAATCAACATTCTTATTGTTCTTTGGTTTTACTGGAAACGTCTTTCAAATGTGTATTCATAAAGAATATTAATATTCTATCTAAAGTATAACAGAACTATGGCAGATGTAGTGGAAATGCAAGTTTTACCTAAAAACAACGTGCATTAACTTTATTTACTTTAACGCAACTGTTCAGATATTTTGAATTGGAAAAATTGTTAATATCTTACCTGCTGCAGATAGCTCTTTGAATGAACTCAGTTTGAAAAAGAAAGTTTCAGATGAGCTAACAGCTAATCTGAATTCAGCTGAAAGTGAATTTCAGTCACTTCAGCTGTTTTGTAGATTATCACATTTTGGCTTTTTTTGTAAGTAATCAAACATTGGCCATTTCTGTTGATTCACAGTTCGGCTGTTTCCACAGCAAACATGTTTTGACCTTTTCTGTAGCTATATAAACGCACTTACGTCGTTTCTGTAGGTAAATAAATGTGCTTTAGCTGTTTCTGTAGGTAAACAAATGCACTTTAGCTGTTTCTGTAGGTAAACAAATGC